TAAATTAGGCGCCTCATTTTTGCACACGAAATTTTTGTTTTTCCGTCTCCTATAACTTCTGACGAAAATTAAAACATAGACAATAATTAATATTTTGTTCATCTTTTCGGTGTTAAATTTTAGACAACAAAATTTGTCACTAAATTTTGTCACAATACCTACGATCTGTATTTTTATTTTATTGATTTTAAGCATTTGGTGACGAAATTTGGTTTTCCTCTCTAAAAATAATACATTTGGAGACGAAATTATTTCCTCTCTAAAATTTTTTACAATGGTGACGACAAATTTTGTCTCCAAAATGGCGCCAAATTTTCCAAGGGCGGGAAATTGTTTTGTGACGAAAAATAAAATTTAGAGACGAATAAAATTTTTGCCACCTATTGTTTTATTTGATTTTAAGCATTTGGTGACGAAATTTGGTTTTCGTCTCTAAAAATAATACAATTGGAGGCGAAATCTTATTTTCATCACTAAAACATGCATATTTGGAGACGAAATATTTTTTCATCACGCATTTTCGTCACCATAGACCTTTTTTGTTGTAGTGCTGGCGGCGACGCTGTGGGAGATGAATGAGGTTCCGTCGCCTAGGGTTGGGGACAATTTGGAAGAGAAGAAAGCGATCAAGAGAGAGATGAGAGTTAGAGAGAGAATGGGGGTGCCGAGATCGGTGCATTCGGGTTCTCTACCTCCGCATTTGTCTGATCGGTGCATTCTTTTAAAATTTTAAAATTCTTATTTATTCACATATTGGGAAATATACGAACTACAGATAAATTTGCAATTTCTTTATGCCTCTGACCCAGTATAGTTGAGATCTCAAATGCAATGAAATGTCTGACTTGCTGAATTTTTGCTACATACTTGAACATTTCCTAGTTGGGGGTTGCTTGAGCACGTAGCATATTTTAATTTTATATTATACATTTTGCTAATGCTTGTTCTAGTTAAATGTGGAAAGTAAATTTCTGGCTTCCCATATTTCGTTTTGGGTTATGTGGTGAGCAGACCACAATGAAGTATTAAATTCTTATTTGTTTCTATGTTTCTGTTGTAGGTTGTGAAGAGCTTCTCATCTGGTAAAAGAGAAGGTGGAGATTCTGTAGCAGCTTGTTTACCACCTAAAGGGGAATGGATTTACTGTGTTGGTGAAGATAGGTATGGCGTAAAGGGCATATTGTTCTTGATTATTATATGAACTTTTGCCCTGTTTTTTCATGCTTTCATTTAGTAAATCAGCCCTTTTGCTCTTATTGTTATTAAATGCCTATATGGCCAGGAGACAAACCATATTGAGATTTTTGTTTTTTTGGCACTATTGGCTGTTCTACTTCAGGGCGGTGTGCCTAACAACACCACAAGTTAATTACTTGTGAATAAACCTTTTGGATTCATTAAGTCTTCTCAAGATAATTTACTTGTTAATATCATACTAAAATTTGAAAGAGGATTGGAGACAGCTAAGGAAATGTGCTAAACAAGGAAACTTAGTCTCAAAATTCTAGCCTGCACTGACCCATTAAAATAAATACGAAGACGGCAATTTTAGCCAGCACATCTATGAGATTGTTTCTGTTGCCAGCATCAAGAGAATAATCTTTTATATTTATGAACAAAAACTCATCATAATCAGTATGATCATATTGATGCAGAAAGATTATAAAGATGAAGTATCATATTATCAGTTGAAAAGAGATGCCATAAATCAATCTCCCTTCTCCTGTGCCATGTCTACGGAACATGGTGAATTTTTGGAATTTTATTTTAGGAAATGAGATGCTACAAATCATTCTCTCCTTGACCATGCTATGTCTATGAAATGCAGTGAATACAGTAACTCATTCCTTTTGTTCTGTTGGTTCCCTGTCTTCTTGTTCATCTCTTTAATGTGGTGGCAATGGGTTTTGTTGTTTGGAAGCCTATTTCAATCTTCCAGTTCATCTTTATTGGATTTGATTATAAAATAAGCTTATTGCTTTGGAACAGCTGAGCTGTAAATACTAGCCTATTTCCATATCCTTGAATTGAATGCCTTGATGTCTTACTGAGAACCACATGCTTCTGTGATAACAATTTTATTGCTTAGAATTGCTACATTTATGGGATTCGTTATTAACTCTTAACGATTTATAAATTTTGTGCAGAAATATGTACTGCTTTAGCTACCAGTATGGTAAACTGGAGCATCTAATGAAGGTAATCTTTTATTTTTTCGGAGGCCAAGCAAGTGCCACAATCTCTACATTACAAGAATCGGCAATTATGTTTTGAAGTTTGATTCATTCTTAGTTTTATAAACAGGATGTGGTATTAATTGTTAGTTATATTTATTTACTAATTTGGCTTGCATTATGCAGAAATCCAATATTTCTGGCTTGAAAGTGCTCTTATTATTTCTTAATAATTTGGCAGGTCCATGAGAAGGATGTAATTGGTATCACACATCACTCCCACAGAAACCTTGTCGCGACATATAGCGAAGACTGCACGATGAAATTGTGGAAGCTTCCTCAGTGGTTGGTGTTTCTGCTGTTAGTCTAAAATGCAATTTAGGTTGCTTTATTTATTTTCATTTTTCTTTTCTTTTTTTCTTTTAAAGGCTAGTTTCCTACTAGTTCTTTTGCCTCGAGAATTCCCACTTCTTTTTTTCTCTTGCTTTGTTTGTAATATTTTAAAATTGTTTTCTTTAGGTTGTGTTTGGTTGGTGAGGGAAGAGGATGATGGGTTTATTCATGTAGAAAATGGATAACCCATTTGGATTTGGTGGGTCCAAGGCAAAAGTAGTGCTCATTTTGCCCTTGGTGAGGGAAGAGGATGATGGGTTTATTCATCTTCTTACTAATTAACTTGGATGTAGGTCAACATTAAAACTGACTCAAAGTGGTGAGTTTTTTTTTTTGTGTTCAAATTATAATTATTGGGACTAGAATAGAATCAATGAAAAATATATATAAATAAATAAACTATATGAATGTATTTATTTATGCCTCAGTATAAATTGGTGGCATTTACAACCTAACAATTAAATTGTTTGACAGCATCAGGACGGTCGCATTCACTATGATTTGCGGTACTACATTTATATATATATATATATTGAAGGGGAAATTACATGGCGTAAATAATTATAAAAAAAGTAGTAATTTTTGTGGGGGTGTCATTTTTGCTTTGTTTGACAGCGTCAGCCTAACAATTTTTACTGTCTGGTATTTTTAATTAATTTTTTTTGTCAAATGCCTGAATATGTAGTTTTATTTGCACGCCGTTGTTCCTATCAGTTAATACCATCTTCTTTTTTTTTCATTTTTAAATTATGATTGTTCTTCAAGTAAGTTATCTTTTTGGACAAAATAATAAAATCTAATTTTTCATGATAACCCACAACACTATATATATATGAGTAATGCAATTCATCACTGTCAGTAGGAGTAAATGCTGATAGTGTTTCACAATTAAAGAGTGCTGTATGGAAAGAATGGCTGAAAGGTTATTCTTTCTCCATGTCCAATGTTTATACTTAGTTTTTCTGATTTCTCTTGAACATGTACCATGAGTTTTGGTGATCATGAAGGGAAGAATGAAAGAGCGTCAAAGTTTATGACGTTGGGTTTACCACTGTATGGAACGTCACTTGTGCCATTCCTCGAATTTATGTGCTATGTTATTGCCTATTGGGAAATTGGAAAGTAAGAAAATATTTATTGTGCTGAAGGGCCCACTTCAGGTGAATTGCAAATTTTAGGTCATTTAAAGGGAATGGAGCTTTGATAGTTAACTATGCCCGAATAAGTTCATGTTAGGTCTTCAATAACTCATCATTTGTAAGATATGCTACCTAGAGAAGTAATTAGTGTCTGATAGAACTGCTCAACCTCCAATTAGCAATCATTGAATTTTATTTGTGTTGGAGTAGGATTTGACAATGACACAGGTATTTAACTTTTTTGCTTATCTTACTGGCATGGTTGTTATGGCTGTTAGCTTATTAATCATCGTGTATTGAAATTTGCAGGTACAACAACAAGTACAGTTTTATTATGCCAGCTAGTTGTCTTAATACGATGTACATGTTTATAGGATTTAATTGATTTTTGCAAAGATACAGGTTTGCAATCCAATGTTGCTGCCACTATCATGCTTCTCTGATAAATTTTCCAATTCTGTTTGTTTATTAGGTGTCTTACATCACTACTGCTTTGATGGATGCGAAGCTTGGCACGAAAGGGCGCAAGGATCTTTTTGATTGGCTATCAAGGCAACTTAGTGTATTAAAACTTAGAATATGAATTATGTATTGTGTTGAATAGTTAATGAATTAAAACTTAGTGGATCCTTTTGATTGGCTATCAAGGCAACTTAATGTATTGTGTTGAATATGAATTGAAAACTTAGAATAGTTGTATTGTGTCGAATGTTAATGAATTATGTATTGTGTCGAATGTTAATAATTCAATTAATTTGAATGATGCTTTAAAATTATAAGTTTATTATGGATTGATTGAATTATAACATCATTACAGGTGTACTGTTTTCCTGCTTTGACGACCAATTTATTAGTCGCGACATCCAAAATTATTTTTTTTCGCAAAAAATGACAATTGCCGACCAAGAGTTTTGGTCGCAAAAAATACATGTATTGCCGACCAAAACAGCTCTTGGTCGTGAAATCTCACTTTTGCCGACCAAAAGTTTTGGTCGCGAAAAGACACAAATGGCGACCAATTTTTTTGGTCGCGAAATGTGATAATTGGTGACCAAAAAATTTGGTCGCGAAATGTAAAAATTGGCAACCAAAAGTTTGGTCGCCAAATGTGACAATTGGCGACTAAGAAATTTGGTCGGGAAAATATCACTTTTCGCGACCAAAGTGTTTTGGCGACAAAATAAATTAGTCGCGGTAATTAAATATTTAGCGACTAAAAATTTAGTCGGCAAAATCCAACTTTTGCCGACCAACCATAATTTTGGTCGCGAATTACTTTTGCCGACCCTCAATTGGCGACCAAAGTGGCGACCAAAAAATTTGGTCGCGGATAACTTTTGCCGACCAAAAATAGACTTTTAGCGACCAATTTTTTTGTTGCCAAAAGTGTTAATTCTTGTAGTGTGTGTTGATTTTAGTATATTCCAAAATATTGGATTACGTATATATATTATTAAAAAGAAAATTTATTTATGTTAAGTTGTCTTCCTTTAGTCTGCGGAAACAACTTAGATGTTTATATACTTGATCCTTTCGTATAAGAGAAAAATCAGAGCTCAACAAAAAATAAAAATAAAAATAAAAAATGTATTCTTTTAAGCATCCTTGCTGGGAAGTGGAGTTTGTCATAAATTCCCTATGGAGATCAAACCATTGTTATTATTTGAGAATATGAACTTTTGTTGGAATTTTTTAAATTTTGTGAGACTTTTTTCCATTCATCGAATTTTGCATTTTATAACACATCAGTTGATGCTTCAAATAAAATAGATAGTTGCTGAACAAAGTCAATTTTTTTAATTTTTGTTATTGTTTTCTATGAGGGAAAACAAAATTATTTTTTACAAAATCTATTATGTAAAATTGTTTTTTCACATCAGTTTATTACTTTCCAAAATAGTTTATTACATCAGTTTATTGTTTTCCTATATGATCCAAAGGTTTACACATGGAATTATTGGGATTACATCAATTTATTACTTCCATGTCTGCTTCAGTCATGAAAATCTGTTTGTTTTGCCTCTCCCGTCTACTAGCTTGTGATTGAATTAGGTACTAGTGAAAAATTACAGAAGAAGAAAAAGATTATCTTAGGGATTATTCTTATGATATACTTGTTATCTTTTTAAGTTTAATAATGTGACAATGAATTTAAGTTCAATAATGTGACAATCAATTAAAATGTTTAAGGTAATACATTTTTTCATATTTTCTCAATTATCAATCAATTATATCACTTATAACATCATTGAATTTAGAAAATAAATTTAAAAAATAGACTTATATATTATTTTATGTGACACAATTATAATTAATATAATAATTCTTGCATGAGTTACAATAATATTTAATTGCGATTGTACTTAATAGGAGTTGGTTTAAAGATTGAATTTTTTAATAATTTTTTTGTATCGGCTGTTTGCCTATTTTAATTGCCCAACATGATTTAGGCCTTTGGTAACTCTCTTTTTTAGTTAGGAAGTTAAAAATTATTAAATTAGTTAAAAAGCCAATAATTCATATCAAAAAGTCAAAGATTCTCTTTTCTCTTTATTTTTTGTACATCTTTTCGTAAAAAGTCAAAAAGTCATCCAAAACATACTAGTTTTTTTTAGCTCATATTTTAACCAAATAGTCAAAAAGTTACTAAATTAACCTGTTCTCAAACGAAGCCTTAAGTCATCGTTTGATTAGTTAATATTTTTGGTAAAAAACTAATAAAATAAATAAATACATACAAAAAATTTAAATATATTTTTTATTAATTTCATTTTTTGCATGTTTTTTTATAAAAAAAAAATTAAAAGTTATTTTAAAATATTTTAATTTTTTCACTTTTATTTTAATTAATAAATTAATAAAAAATTTATTTTCCAACCGAACTCCACATAAAATGATTTATAAATGTGATATAAAAAAATGATAATTATAACATTGAATAATGTTTTAGAGCACTAGAGCATCATTAATGATGTGGCACAGTGGCCTCTACCAAAGTGATGTGATGTTTTGGCTTGAATTTATTTATTTTTATTTGTTTTAAGCTCATTAGAGCTATTAGTGGTCCAAAAATTAGTGGGATGAATCACCACTCGTATAACATTATTGTTTAATTTTTCCAACTGTCAAGTCTGTCATCCATGAGTGATGCGTCCTGTTGGGACGCTATTGATCGTTGATTTGCCTCGAGAATCACACCATCCTTACCCATAAAAAGAATGTACAAGTGTACTCCCAACACGAGTAATTGTTTTTCATACGGGGGTGTTTGGAAACTTGGTTGGGGAGGTTTTTTTATTTTATTTTATTTTGGATTCGTTTGGGAGGTGACTTGATTTTTTTATTTTTTAATTTTTTTAATTATTTTAATTTAGAGTTAAAAAGTCCCATTTAAAAATGACTTTTAATTGTTTTAGCCAAAAAAAGCCCAAAACCCTCTTTTCCAAACGAGCCCTTTATTATTTATTTTTTTATTAAAATATTTAATAAAAATAAAATAGATTAATTAATAAGATAAAATGTTATATTTAAAATTATAATTTTTTTTTATTTTTTTTAAAATCATCAAATCAATTAGAAAAAAAAAGTCAATTATTTTCTCAAATATAATTTTTTTTATCAAGTTAAAATAATTAAAAAAAACAAAAAATTAATTAAAATAATCAAGTTTTCAAACCAACTCCTTGTAGGATTTTATTTCCTTTATAATCCCCTAATGGCGTGGCAGGATAAAGTGGACGTAAAGATAATTTTGATGGAATATTTGGATGTAGGTCAAATTTTTAAATTTCACTTCTCACGTTATTTAGGGGGATTTGGGAGGAAAAATTATGTGAAAGAATCATGAATAATTTTTCTTAAACTATTAGGCCCTGTTTGGGACAAAGGTTGGGATTAAAATAGTTATATAGGATAAAATAGACTACTTTAGTTAAATAGGACGAAATGTCACATCTAATTTATAATTATTTCATTTTTTTCTTTTATAAACTTTAAAAAAAGTAAAAAATCTATCTCAGACGAAATTTTTTAATCTCAGGCTAAAATAATCAAAAAATTAAAAAGCCAAAAAGATAACCCACATCCCAAACGAACCCTTAGTGTCATTTGGTACAATCTATGAAATTACTTACGTATTTTTTATTTAATTTTAAAATTTTGTACAATAGTATTTGGTGTAATTTTGTTTATAATATAGGACAAAAATAGCTAAAATAAATTTGACTTTATTGTGAAAGTGAGTTGATTTTTTAACTATTTTAATTTGGGCTAAAAAGTCTCTTTTGGGATGATTGTTTTTGACTTTTTTTTTAAAAAAAATGAATTGATTATGATTTGGATATGATATATTGTTTTATTGGCTTTGTAGCCTATTTTATTTTTTTATGACTAAAAAGAAACCCAAAGTGAGCTTGTTTGGGATATGTTATTTAAACACATTTTTTGTCTTTTTATTTTTTTAGGTCACATCACCTCTCTACTTTTATTCACATCTTTTCATAAAAAGTCAAAAAATACGCTTATTTAAATCATCTCAAACAATCAAGATAAAACATAAAGAATAGGGTTTGTAATTTTTATTTTTTAATTATCAGTTTTCAACTTTTAAAAACCTAAACACATGGTATGTTATTTCTATATAATTTATTTATAAAATTTATCATGTCTTTATTAATATGTGAAAAAATAACATAAGAATGATTATTTATACTTGGTGAAACACATTACATGTCATTGGGCATATTTGGTATATTTATACAAAAATGCTATGGACATTAAATAAATTATAAATTTTCTATCAAATCTCTCACATGGGTGTGGTATCCACATAAATCACGTGTGTGTGGGTCTCACATCCATATGAGATATTTGGTAAAATATTTGGTAATTTATTTGAAATCCCTAAGAGCATTTCTAACGGTTCATTACAATTTTCACCAAATTTGAGTAAAAAAAAGTTGATTTTCTCAATCTGATACCAATGGCTCCAATGGTGTGCATCAAAAGCGAAGGGGACGTCCGATGGGTCGACTGGTCGGTCGACCGGTTAGGCTTATCCAAAGCAGATTTGTACAATTAGTGATGACAAACATAAGCATCACACTTTAGTACTGAAACAGAGCATCATACACAAACTCAACAAAATCTAAACAAAGGCTCAACTGTTTATATGTTCCTATAAGATATGTCTATGTATATGTTTGTCATATATTGTTTTTATTAGAGATATGTGGATGCTTGTTCTCAATTGTTAAGCTGCAAGGCGATATTCAGCCATAAATAAACACTTCCCTCGTGAAGACGCTCAACTTATATTGGTATGAAGAAGCATTTTTTGTGTTACAAAAAGAAAATGCGTCCAATGCACACTCTTCAAAAGAAAAATGTGTCCAAGAAAATGTATTGTCTCCTATAGCATGCAGAATTATAATCCTACCTTGCTTGCTCTGGAGTACCATTTGAGGTATATCAGTGATTATGCCTAAGCTAGAATAAAATGTTTCAGTGACCTTTATTCTTCACCTTAGTGGGTTAAGAACCCACTGGATAGGGTTCCACAAGTTAAACCCCCCTATTGGGGTCCCATAGTAATCAAGACCCAAACAACGAGACCTTTTATGATCTCATTTTCACAAGATCGCACCTATCCTAGGAAATAAATCAGTTCACAGATTGAGGGAGCCGGTCGACCGGTGGGTCAACTGGCTGGACATCCGACTGGTTGACTGGTTGGCCCACCCCTAACGTTACAGCACCGTGAAATGGTGAAATCTTGCGCTTTTCCTCAGTTTGATGAAATTTTTGTTCCGTTTTCAGTTTGATATCAATTTGGTGAAATCATTAGAAAGGAAAAAAAAGGACTTTTTTCATCAAATTTGAATTTGATGCTTAATCTGATGCACCGTTAGAGATGGCCTAACATAACTCATATTTATATTGCAAATTTAAAGTTAATAATCATAAAGTAAAGGTTAAAAGTATTCCTTCTCAACTTTTAGAAAGTTAAATTTTTTTAACTTATTTAAATTATTTTCATCTAACAAATTGAAAAAAAAAAATTACACCAGACAATCTTGCACAAATTTTATGTATAAAGTGAAGTTTAGAGATGGTATTGTTATAAAGCGAAGCTTGGAGATGATGTTAAAGCTTATTTAAAATATATAATTATATAGGAAGGATGATGTGACTCGGAATCAAAACTTTCAGCCTCATAAATAAGAGTCTTATCATTTGAATAACGTTTGTTTTAAATCAAAATCAAAATTTACATTTTTAAAATTTAAGATCACATCTATCTAGTGAGCGGGCACATTAATATATATGAAAAATTCTATTATACACATCTCTTAAAATTGGTATATCATATGTATTTCTAATTATGTCATTTTCTTTTTTAGTTATACCTAACTTTTTTGTTTAGTTATAACCTACTAGATCTTTAGTTATGTCACATGTGGTGTTTAATTATCATTTTTTTATTTAAATTATGACTCAAAAAATATAAAATTATGTAATTTTTTTTAATTATAAAGTGTAGATAGTATGTTCCATAGTCTTTCCATATATATATATATACTAGTGCATGTCTGTGTTCGAAGGTACGGTGTAAATAAAATAAGTGAGTAAAAAGGAGAAAAAAAATAAAGAAACAAGAAGGAAAATAAAAGGGAAAAAATAAATAATAAAAATATAGAAAGGAAAGAGGAAGGAAAGTGGGGGTTGGGGGAGAGAGAGAGATTGTATGAGTGAAAAAAAGTGGGGGAAAAGAAGATGGATGACTGAGAATTAAAGAAATCTTAACCCTTAATGAATTTGAAAATTAATCTCAACTCTTGAAACAAAATGTATCTTTAAGATATTTTGACACATTTTTAAAAATCCTCATGCTTTATTATATAGATATATACTAGTGTATGTCTATATTTGAAGGTACGGTATAAATAAAATAAGTGAGTAAAAAGGAGAAAAAAAAAGGAAGGAAAATAAAAAGAGAGAAAAATAAAAAATAAAAAAATAAAAAGGAAAGAGAAAGGAAGGTGGGCTGGAAGAGAGATTGCCTGAGTGAAAAAAAGTGAAGAAAAAGAAGGCGGGTGAGTGAGAATTAAAGAAATCTTAACTCTTAATAAATATGAAAATTAATCCTAATCCTTGAAACAAAATATATCTCTAACACATTTTGACATATTTTTAAAAATTATCTTACTTTATTATATGAATAATGTTATATGTACCAATTAATATATTAATTAGTATATTAATAGATGATATGATATAATTTTAAAAGTTTTAAATATTTATAATTAAGTTAATAATAATAACATAATACTAATTGATATATTAATGTATATATTAATTGATATATATAATACCACTGTTATTATATAGATTCTATATGTAAATATATAAAGTGGTGGAGCCCCATTGTGTACATTATTATTATTATGCAATAAGTTTTCCCCAACACACATTTCTGACCGACTCCCAAGGAAAAGAAAATCCCAATTTGAATAATCAAATCATTCGTGACCCCAAACACTTTAATCTCTCGATATATCGGCAATATTTCGATTACGTTACCTTTGTGTATCGCCGAGAACTGTCCTTTTCACTGCTTCATCCCATCTCATCTCGAAAACACGACAAGTACCCAATGGCAAGTCCCGTAAATTACACCTAGAATTAGACCCAAAGTCCAACGAAGTCCGTCCGAGAAATCTTGTCCTTTTTAAGGGGGATCTGAAAGGAGTGTTAAAATCGGCCGTCTCAAAACTCTCTCACTCTACTCCTCAGCTGTACATTTTCCTCTTCCCACAGCCGTTGGATTTAACCACAAACTCTTCCATCTCGTTATCCAACTGTCAAAATCATAGACATATGGGTTAATTACGGTTTTCATCTAATTTGACATAAATTTCATTCTATTTCAATTTTTGACAATTTGTTCCTTACATTTAACTTTAGTTTTAATTGATTCTTCAATTTAAATTTTCATTAATTTTATCTACGTATACAGCTTATAAAATTAACAAATATTTTTAAATTGTTAATTTTAATGTTTAATTTTGATAGAAGAATCAAATTGAAACCTTAAATCTATGTTTGGTTGGGAGATTTGAAAAGAGAAAGAAAAAAAGTAAGTAAAATGTGAATAAAATATAATTACATTTCATTTACTTTCACATACATTTTCTCTTTCCCTTTCTTCTTTCCCTTTCTATTTTTCTTTCTAATCTCTTCTCAAATTCTCAAACCAAACACAAAGTAAAAACTTAACAACTATCCCAAAATTATTAATTTTAACATCTAATTTAGATCGGATGACCAAATTGAAAATATAGAGATCAAATTATTTAAATTAAAACTATAAATACTAATGGTAAGCTTGAGAACTTTCTATAATAAAAAAAGAATTACAAAAAAAGTCCCAAAATCAAATAACTATACATAGAAAACAAAATTTTTATTTTCTCTATTTTTTTGTACATTGTTTTTGTAAAAAGTAAAAAAAAAAATTCAAATATATTAATTTTTTTACTTTATGTTTTAGCAAAAAACTTAAAAAATTATTAAAATAACCTATTTCAAAATCAATCCTAAAGTAAAATTTGAGTCAAATTAAGGGGTTGTTTGGGGTGTCCTAAATAAGTGTACTTTTTTATTTTTTATGAAATATGGATTGGGTATGAGTTGTGTTTGAAATGATGTAATAGAGAGGTGATGTGAATTAAATAAGATAATGTAACTTAAATAGGATAACGACTTTTTGATTTTTTAAATTTTTTTGAAGATGTCAAACTTGGCCTAAGTATAATTAACCCTAGAAGCATGATAACATTTTCCCTAACTCTCGTTCACAACCAAGCCGAAGAACAGGTGTCGGCTGTAGATTCCGCGCCGATGAAACGAGACAAAACGTAGCCGGCTCAGTCGGAGCACTTATAAAAACCCCATTCATCACTTATCGATAAGCAGACGGACTTATCACGTCTACGACCTCATGGACTTATCTAAAGCTATCTGTCTGCCTCTTCTTACAAAAATCGCCATACCTGCAAGTAATGTCCGTATTTTATTTCCTGCGCACGATAGACTAGAGAGAGAAAACAAACTTTCTAGAGAGAGAAACAGAGTCCAATCTCTCTGCCTCGACCTCGTCGTCTCTCTCTATCTTCAATCTCTCAATCTTGTGTTCTCTCTGTTTCTTCAATCGATCTCTTAATTCATTTTCAAGGTATGAGCTTTGCTTTCATTTCAATCTCCGAATATTTTTACTTTCTCGACTTGCTTTGCTTTGCTTTTTCTCTCTCTAAAACTCTCTCGATTTGTACATCTCTTTACCTGTTTTTTTTTTTTTTTGCCCCTTTTACTTGGCCTCTCCGATTGCTATCTGGTTTAAAGCCGCTTTCATGTGTCTGATCCTCCAAAGAACCCTAGATCATGATCTTGTGCCAAAAATTGATCTCTCTCTGTTAAATTAAAGATCGCTTTAATGATCTAGTTCTGGTTTGAGTTTCAAATTTTTATGTAATTTTTACTTATTTCAGTTTTTTTATTTTTTATTTTTTTTTAAATTCAAAAAAGCAATACATAATAAACTTTCTGGTAGCTGACCTGGTATTTTTAATTTTAAAATTTTAATTAATTAATTAAATTTTTTTTTTGGGATTTTGCAGATCTGCTTATATTGAAGCTGATTTTTGCACATCTGGATTCACAGAAGGAGTAGTAACAATGTCATCTCTCAGTAGAGAGCTTGTGTTCTTGATCTTGCAATTCCTAGATGAGGAAAAGTTCAAAGAGACTGTTCACAAGTGGGTGATTTTATATTTTATATTCTAACTTATGTATATACACTTAATTACTGTTAATTTGTCCATATATGTTGTCTTTTTCTCATAATTATTTTTTACTAATTGTCCTTCTCCTTAAATGGGGCCTCTCTTAAAAATCCTAATACCAGGCTTGAACAAGAATCTGGGTTTTTCTTTAACATGAGATATTTTGAGGATGAGGTTCACAATGGGAATTGGGATGAGGTTGAGAGGTACCTCTCTGGTTTCACTAAAGTGGACGATAATCGCTACTCGATGAAGATATTTTTCGAAATTAGGAAGCAGAAGTATCTCGAGGCGTTGGATAAGTAAGCTTGTAATAATTAATTGAAATGTACATTTCTGTTGTTGTATTTTTGTGGCATTTGTTGCATATAAATGTGAGTTTTGGATTTTATATAGGCATGACCGGTCCAAGGCTGTGGATATCCTTGTAAAGGATCTTAAAGTTTTCGCGTCGTTTAATGAAGAGCTCTTTAAGGAAATAACTCAGCTCCTGACACTTGAGAATTTCAGGTATTAAGTATGGAGTCATCAGATTTTTTTCCCTTCTAACACAGCTATCGAATTGGATTTATTTGGGGGGTTTGTTGTGTTTTGCAGGGAAAATGAACAGCTGTCCAAGTATGGAGATACAAAATCAGCGAGAGCTATTATGTTGGTTGAGCTCAAGAAGCTCATTGAAGCAAACCCATTGTTCCGTGATAAACTGCAGTTTCCTAACCTCAAAAATTCAAGGTTGCGGACTCTCATTAACCAAAGGTAATCTTGCGAAAAAGGCTATTACATTCGGTAAAATTTAAGACAGTTCAAATGTGTTTTAACGGAGCATTTGAATTGAGTGCATCAATCTTCCTAGCATCAAAATGAGTAATTATGTTGCAGCTTGCATGTATGCAAATTTAATAGTATATCTCAAACTTATGTTGTTAGTGTTTTATTATCTTCAATAAGTAATGTTAGGAATTTTCACTGATATTTTTAAGAATGTATGCCAACAAATTGGCGATTCCCAATTAATGGGAAACCCAATTAGTCATTACTTGTATTTAGTTGTGCCTGTTTCATTAGCTTACTTTGGCATCGATACTGAATACTCTCTTGGTTATGTTCTGCGGCTTTGAAAAGATGACTAACAACTTACCAATATTGCAGCTTAAATTGGCAACATCAACTTTGTAAAAATCCAAGGCCAAATCCAGATATCAAAACCCTTTTCGTGGATCATTCATGTGGACAACCAAATGGTGCCCGTGCTCCATCACCGGTAAACAATCCACTGATAGGATCCTTACCAAAGGCTGGAGCGTTCCCTCCTTTGGGTGCACATGGGGTAGGTTTTTAGTGTATTTGGTTACCATATAATCCATTTTTATGTGGCTATATTGACCACTTATCGTGGTTGAATTTATGTGTTAAGCCCTTCCAACCTACACCAGCAGCTGTTCCGGCTCCCCTTGCTGGTTGGATGTCTAATCCACCTACTGTAACTCATCCAGCAATTTCCGGTGGAGCTATTGGTCTTGGTGGTCCATCCATTTCAGGTTCCATTTCTCTATAATTTGCTATAAATTTCTGAATTTGCTCCTTTAAGGGTTTGTATAAGTCCTTGGTTGCTTTTTTAACTCTCAATTGTTTCATTCCTATGTACAGCTGCTTTGAAGCATCCTAGGACTCCACCAACTAATCCCTCGGTAGATTACCCATCTGGGGATTCAGATCATGTATCCAAAAGAAGGGCCATGGGGATATCAGACGAGGTTCCTTGATTCGACTCTAATTAGATTTGCCTTTGGCAATATATTTGGCTTTAACTCGTAAACTTATGCTAGTATGAATATTTTCTTTATGCTTTATTTGTCGAATGCAGGTAAATCTTCCCGTTAATGTATTGCCTGTATCATTTTCTGGGCATGGCCATAGTCAAGCTCTTAATGCCCCAGATGACTTGCCCAAGACTGTTGCAAGGACTTTGAATCAGGGTTCAGCTCCTATGAGCATGGATTTTCATCCTATCCAACAGACTCTACTACTAGGTCTGTTTTTCCGTGGTTGAATTTTCCCCGATTTTTCAGCATGTCACTTTGTGTGGTAATATATATCATGTATTTTTCACAATATAAGCTAGCCGTTGATTTGACCATTGACAATGTGATGCATCAGTTGGTACCAATGTGGGGGACATAGCATTGTGGGAAGTTGGTTCTAGGGAAAGGCTGGTTTTAAGAAACTTCAAAGTATGGGATCTTAGTGTTTGTTCAATGCCTCTTCAGGTCTGAGCCATCTTAAGCCCTAACAAAAAATAAAACAAATTATTTTGTTTGACAGTCAATGTAAGAGCCTTAACCTTTTCTGATTGAATTTCAGGCTGCTCTAGTCAAAGATCCTAGTGTATCTGTTAATCGCATTATTTGGAGCCCTGATGGTTCTTTATTTGGTAAGTGAAACATATGACTTAATCTTAGTGCTTCAATAGCTTTAGATGTTCATATTCTTAAATAAGTAATGAGAATTGGACTGATTTCAATGTCCATACTTTATATTAAACAGGAGTTGCATATTCGAGGCACATTGTGCAAATATATTCTTATCATGGAGCTGATGATGTACGACAACATTTGGAGGTATAGTCAGTTCCGAGCTTGCTGACATTGATCTCTTTCTTTCTATTTCATGTACCATTGGAATTTCCCATTTCACGATTGACATTGACCTCTTTCTTTCTAGATTGATGCTCATGTTGGTGGAGTAAATGATCTAGCATTCTCTCACCCCAATAAGCAACTTTGTGTGATAACCTGTGGTGATGATAAGACCATCAAGGTTGGTTTCTCATGAAATAAAATAATTTAAGTGTGTTGAATTGGTACAAAACACATCAAAAAATTGTCGCATGCCAAATTCCCTTTCTGATACTTTCTAATCTCAGGTTTGGGAGGCTGCGACTGGTGCAAAACAATTTACTTTTGAAGGTCACGAGGCTCCTGTTTATTCTGTCTGTCCTCACTACAAGGAAAACATTCAGGTAACAACTACAATAAGTCAACTGCTCCTGTATTATTTTGCTCATTATATTTTTCAAAATTACCAGGTTTTGTTTGTTTCTCACCATGGACTGTTTTCTCCCCCAAGTACCTTTGCTCCTGATATGTCCTTGTGCTTTTTAGAGTAGTGTGGATCCTGATAAGTACTAGACATTAAGCACTTGACCTCAGATTTCGGAGTAAGGTTATTTATGGTATTTCCACACTTGTTACCTTTTACCTTAATTTCTACGTATTTATAGAGGAGGGGGAGGCGGCTATCTCCGGCAACTCTTGTAAACCTTTTTGATCATAATGAAAACTATAGTAACCGTAGACATAGCCCTAGTTTGTGGTGAACAATGTAAATCTTGTGTTCTTCATGTGCATGTGATTTATCTTTCTTGTACGTTTGTTTGTTTCTGTGTTGTGTTTCACCGATCCTGGTTAGGACTTACTGATTTCTAATAATGCTTTTATATTTCAGTTTATATTTTCAACAGCCCTGGATGGAAAGATAAAAGCTTGGTTATATGACAACATGGGATCTCGAGTCGATTATGACGCTCCTGGTCGATGGTGTACTACAATGGCATATAGTGCTGATGGAACAAGGTTGATTCACTGTTCCTATTTTGTGAACATTACTCTCACTTGTTGGTGCGTGATCAGATGGTAATTTTGTTTGTGTTGGGTTTTTTTCTTTGTTTGTTTGTTTGTTTGGTTGGGTGGGAAATTCAGACTCTTTTCGTGTGGGACAAGCAAAGATGGAGAGTCACATATTGTTGAATGGAATGAAAGTGAAGGTGCTGTGAAGAGGACTTATCAAGGCTTACGGAAACGATCTATGGGTGTTGTACAATTCGATACGACTAAAAATCGGTTTTTGGCAGCTGGTTATGATTTCGCCATTAAATTTTGGGATATGGACAATGTCCAACTTTTGACAAGCATAGATGCTGATGGAAATATTCCGGTAAGTACATTATGCTTTCCTGTCAATTTTGAGAAGAATATATTTTTTTTTTTCTGAATATACCTTGTACGATGGACCAACTTTTGTTTTACGACCCTAAATTTAAGGCAAGCCCGCGTATCCGCTTCAACAAGGACGGATCTCTCTTGGCTGTTTCTGCTAATGACAACGGGATCAAAATTTTGGCAAATTCTGATGGTCTTAGGTGGCTGCGTACATTTGAAAATCCTTCTTATGATGCTGCAAGAGCATCTGAAAATGCGATTAAGGTAGCTGTTTTAGATAATTAAATCTTAATGTCACATATCACTCTTATCTAAAATAGACATGCCTAATTTTGTCTTTTGGGTCTCATGTAGCCTACAATAAATGCAATGTCTGCTGCTGCTGCCGCTGCCGCCACTAGTGCTGGACTTGGGGATAGAGCTGCTTCTGTTGTCGCTATCTCTGCAATGGTTTGTTTTACATGATTAAACACCCCCCCCCCCCTTCTCACTGACAAGTCATCATAATTTCACACGATGCATTAAAGTGGAAAGTACCTTTTTTTGGTTTTTTGTGTCATTTTTTGTATAATCTTTGTTTGTTTTATATAGAATAGGCCTTTGGGCATTAACATGTGATTCATTATGTTAGAATGGGGACGCCAGAAATATGGGGGATGTGAAACCTAGAATTACTGAAGAGATGAATGACAAGTCAAAGATTTGGAAGCTCACTGAAATTAGTGATCCTTCCCAGTGCCGGTCCTTGAAGCTACCTGAACACATGAGAGCAACCAAGGTATGCTTTTCACCAGCTGACTTTAAGTGATATAATAATGTATAAATGGGTTGATTTCAGTCATGCTTAAATTGATAATGACATTTCGGTCTTGCCATTTTCAGCAGACAATAACATAGAAAACAAGGAAAATGTAAATACGTTGGTAAAATAAATTTATTTATTATTTTTATGTCAGATGGAAAAAGGAGGTGTCAATGCCATCATCTTACATCTCTATAGGCTGAATCACATGGTGATGAGTCTCTCATCAATGTCATGGATGTGATCTTATTCAATGGTTTTTTGGCAGTATGAAAAACATAACAGATATTGGCGCAGACTTAAAAGTAATAAGATTTTTGAAATTTAAGGAACTTCAAACCCAACCTCAAATATAGATTGTAAGAATTTTAAACTGTAGTTCAATTTTAATCTGACTTCTGTAAACCACAGTCCAGGATATTTCGAGTCAAGGCCTAGAAAATCAATTAGAATTGTAAAAATTTGAAATTTGCTCCTTTGTAAGTGGAATTAATTGGTTGATATTATGGAATTTATGGAAGTTCCTAATTCTTAAGCATCACTCCATATATTAGCAAAATGGCAGAATATATATGATGGCATAAATGTGGTTTAGTATCTAGGATTGTGTAAAGAAATAAAGAAAGTGAGCTCGTTTATGCTTTTTAAATGTATGGGGTCTTCTGCTAGAGTAGATTCATAAACGGGAAGTTCAAGACGCTATAGTTCAGTAGAATTTCTTTTACTTATTTTGGTGTGCAAGAAAAACTGGTTATCTCCTACACAACCTGTACACGCAATTTCTTTCTCTATGAAATATAATTATCAAGCAGTCTTTGCGTAATGCTCATTGCGATGATATGTGAAATATTTCAAATATCAGAACTTATAGTTACAATTGTTTTCCCTTTTTATAACAAGTTTGTGTGATCCATGTAGATATAAATTCTATAGGAATTTATCATTGTTTTGAAATTCTATTGAATTGTTATTCTGTTTTTGAGTCGCAAGGCTTTATGATCCCATCTCTCTATCAAGCAATCAGTTTTCTCACTTGCTTCGTTATTGATCAATACAGATATCGAGGTTGATATATACAAATTCAGGCAATGCTATTTTGGCATTAGCGTCAAATGCCATTCATCTGCTTTGGAAATGGCAGCGAAGTGACCGCAATTCAGGTGGCAAGGTATGAAGGATATGCAAAAATGTCATTATCATTAAGAGTAGTCCTTTTTTATTTGGAACTAAGTTCATTTTTACATTGGTTGCTTCATTCTTTAGGCAACGGCCAATGTATCACCTCAATTATGGCAACCATCAAGTGGCATTTTGATGACCAACGATGTCACTGACACTAACCCTGAGGATGCTGTTCCCTGTTTTGCTTTGTCCAAAAATGATTCTTATGTGATGTCTGCATCGGGAGGAAAGATTTCTCTATTCAATATGATGACATTTAAGGTGACGAATGAAATTAAGCTATTGTCTCTGATTGAATCATTTTATGTTAATGATCATCATTCATTTGACTAATCCCTGATTTCTCTGGGCAAGTGCAGACAATGACAACTTTCATGCCTCCGCCACCTGCAGCAACGTTTCTTGCATTCCATCCTCAAGATAACAATATCATTGCTATTGGTATGGATGATTCGACAATCCAAATATACAATGTTCGCGTTGATGAGGTATGAATCATTGTGAATTATATTCTAGGTGGGAAGTTACAATACAGTTTTATAAGCAATTATCAGCACCACCTTGTTTAATCAACAACCCTTCTTGTCTAATTACTAATAAGAATTTTCATTGTTGCAGGTCAAAAGCAAGCTTAAAGGTCACTCTAAAAGAATTACCGGCCTTGCCTTTTCTCATGTGCTTAATGTCCTAGTTTCATCTGGAGCAGATGCTCAGGTTAGCAACTTATTCAATTCAATTCTTACCTAGTTTCAAATCATTACCGTCAACGATGAGTTCCTGGTTGCGAATAAGTGAACAATGGAAATTCAGACCACAACAGTAAAGTGCAGTCTATATGTTTTAAATTGGGTCTCTTTTGCTTGCTTTTCTTTTGCTCCAGCTTTGTGTGTGGAGCTCTGATGGTTGGGAAAAGCAAAAAAACAGATTCCTGCAGATGCCATCTGGGAGGACAACAACAGCACAGTCTGACACTCGCGTACAGTTTCACCAAGACCAGACGCACTTCCTTGTTGTGCACGAGACACAGCTCGCTATCTATGAAGCAACAAAATTAGATTGTGTCAAACAGGTACCTTCCCCCACCCCACCCCCCAAATGCACTCTGTTGGGAAGTAATATTAAGTTGTAAACTTGTAGGTAGTTAATGTGATTTCTCATCTTTTTTTTAGTGGGTCCCACGTGAAGCTGCTGCCCCAATCTCTCATGCGACATTCTCGTGTGATAGCCAGCTGGTATATGCCAGCTTCTTCGATGCAACTGTGTGTGTATTCACTGCTGCTAATCTTCGACTACGATGTCGTATTAACCCTCCTAGTTATCTTTCACCCAGTGTCAGGTATATCCTTGTCTTCATTGCTTTCTTTCTGGTTTCTCATTTCTTGAGATGAATCATTTCACAGAGATGACTTACCTTTCGATGAAGTCTAGTTTGGTTGGCATAAATTTGAATATCCATTTGTTTTTGCACTTCCTCATTCCATCCAACCATGTTTAAGTTTTAATTTTAAAATCTATTTCATATCATGGTTGAAATCTAAAATTCCAGTAACCTTAAGTCTTATAAAGTGATCTTTGAGTTGCAAATTCCCTTATTAATAATCAATTTTATTTTATTTATTTGCAGCAACTCAAATGTCCACCCACTAGTGATTGCGGCGCATCCACAAGAACCAAATCAGTTTGCGTTGGGTCTATCGGATGGCGGAGTCCATGTCTTTGAGCCACTTGAATCAGAAGGCAAATGGGGAGTACCTCCACCAGTTGAGAATGGGTCAGCAAGCAGCGTACCAGCTACACCTTCAGTTGGTGGACCTTCAGGCTCGGATCAACCTCAAAGATGATCGAGTGGCTGCCAAGCACGGGTTCTTTTACATGCTTTCGCTTGCTGGCCCATTTCAGGTATAGGTAAGAGTTTCCATCTGATCATCGACTCTGCAGTGCTCTGTGACAAAAAGCAGTATGATGGAAATTGGACAAATTTAGACACTATAAAAAAGAAGAGCAAATTGGACATAGCAATCCAACCACAACCAGTAGAACCATCAACTGGTTCCTTAAATTTATTAATTTGTCACCGAGGTCGGGTTATTGGGGTTAGCAAATGTCCAGTTTCCATACCGTATGTTTTGACATCCGCGTCCTCTCTAGCCCAGTTTGACGTATTTTTTGTTGCTTATTTTCTCTTTCTGCAGTTCGAGTTGACAATATGTAATTTATGTTTATGACCAGGATGCAGACGTGTAGATCTAACATTTTGGAATGATACTGTGCAAGCTAAATCGTTTAGGTGTATTAATAGTGATTTGGCTTCCTTCCCAAAAAGAAATTTCTTTAGGAAATTGTTCTGTTCTTCCCCTCTCTGTTTATATTCTTTCTTTCATTTGTTGAATAGAAGTGTTGTTTTAAGAATGAAATTGCCTTTTGAGGTGGTATTTTATATATAGAAGTGTTGTTTTAAGAATGAAATTGCCTTTTGAGGTGGTATTTTATATATATTTATCTGTCTTTTTAACTCAAAGCTCATGGAAGAGATCAAATTAGTTACTTTATGGGTATGTTTGGATCTTGGAAAAAGAAAAAAAAAAAAAGGGATTGTGTAAATGCAGTCTTTTATCCAACCCTACCTCAGATCTCAAGCAAATTTTCTTCCCATCCTTATTTGGATTCATTTTTCTTAAGTTAGAGGTTGGAAATAGAATGTTTCATCAAAGTAACATTAGGGCCATAATAATGTGTCAGGGGGGTTACTAGCCAACATTCACCTTGTGTTTGGATTATAAATTTAGAGAGAGTTTTGGAAAGGGAAGTGAAAATATAGGCAAAATGAAAACAAAATGGAGTCACGTTCACTCATTTTTATTTTTTTTTATTTTTCAAATCTTTACTCAAATTATTAATCGGAAGTAAAAAGATAGACAAAATGAAAATAAAATATAGTAATGTTTACTCATTTTAATTTAGAGTTGTATGGTATTGGTTAGGTTAATAATTTTTGCAGAGACGCGAAGGGAAAACAGAGCACACACAGCGTGATATTTCTATAGGCCATAGACTAACGGCTGTATATTGTGTTTGGATCTTGGATTTGTAAAATCATTTTCTTTTACTTCCAAAAATTCGCAATCCATCACAAATCAATCGATCAATCAATCAAATGAATTTAATCATACGGTGCTAATGGCGGTGCACAGAATGTTGATGAGCAAGTTTCTAAATGAGGTTGATAAACTTGAAACCTCAACCTACTTGCCTTAATTGGGGTCCAACAATTTTGCCGGAGACTGGATGTGTGGATGTGGATGTGGATGTGGATGTGTGTCTCTCTAAGGACTACAATAGTGCGGCATGGCAGGAGCAAAGTGGATGCCTATCCTGGAAGATGGGCTCAAGTGTCCTAAGACCTGTCTTGTTGGCTCTGGCTGGTTAAAAATATGGAACCCTTTTGGAAACTTTCTATTTACCAAAATAAATAAATAAAATCCTTGCACCATTCATTTCTTTTTAATTTTTTATAATAATTTTATCCCCATCTAATATTTACCAAAAAGTACCAAAACCATAAGAAACTAAAAGCTCCAATTACACTCCTCCATCACCACCTCCACCCACCAGCACCACCCCCTCTCAGATCTCACCTCCCCATTGCCAGCTCCCTCTTTTTCCAATTTTGAAAGCCCTAGGTCTCTCTCCTCTCTCTCTCTCAAAGGAGTAAAGCTGGGAGGAGGGATCACGCCATGGAGGAGGGGGGAGGGGGTTGTAAGGGTTTGGTCACATAAATAGAATTCAAAAGGCTGGATGAGGGGTCGCTAGGGATGGCAATTTGAACCCGGCCCGATGGGGACCCGACCCCCTGACCCTGAATTGAGCTGATTTTTCTCGAAAAATACCCCCGACGGGACGGGGATAGTAGTCAAAAATCAATCCCCAAACAGTTTCAGGCCGGGGACGTGGATAGGTGTCCCAGCCCTATACTCGGCCCCGCCCCGTCCCCGTCGTCGTCCCCGTTCCCCAGCCCGATTTATCCCGATGTGAAATTACTATTTTACCCCTATATACATATATATATATAAAAACCAAACCCTGAATCTCACTTTCACTTCTCTCTCTCTCTCTCTCTCTCTCTCTCAGCCGCGTCTCTCATCTCTTTCTGCCTCATTCACTGACTTCTCTCTCTCTCTTAGATCCACCACCACCGCCGTCTAGCTCGCACCACCACCACCACCGCGTCTCTCATCCAGATCCACCACCACCGCTGTCCAGCTCGCACTACCGCTTCACCTCCGTCGTCGACTCTCCACCTCGTCACTCTCGCACCTCTCTTCCACCTCTATCTACCTTGCACCGCCGCTCCACCTCCTCCATCGTCCATCGCGCCGATCTTCTCCGTCGTTCATCGCAGTTCCATCGCCTCCGTCGTCCTCTCTCTCTCTCTCTCTCTCTGTGACACACTCAAATACACAGATCTGAGATATGTTATTGTTGATGATTTTGTTGATCTCAGATATGAGATCTGTTGATGATTTTGTTGATTGTTGATGATATTGATGATGAGATCTCAGTCTCAGATTTGTGTTGATGTTGCTTTTGTTGTTGTTTTTTTTTTCTTTTTTTGGGCGGGAAATTTTCGGAGTCGGGAAAATCCAATCCTCGTTAGGAGATGGGGACGAGGACGGGGACGGGAACGGTGATGGTGATAGGCTCCCCATCGGGGATCGGGGCCTAGGACGGTCGCTATCGGGGATCAAGGACAGGAAATGTGGTTCCCGACCCCGCCCCAGCCCGTTGCCATTCCTAGGGATCGCGTGGTAGAAGGAGCTAGGTTGCAATTTAGGGGATTGGGGGATCAGTCACAGTAGAGAGGCTGTTCGCTGTGGTTTGAGGGCTAGTTGAGAGTCACCAATTTGGAGGGAGGAAAGGGGGGAGGGGGAAGGGAAGGGGTTTGTAGTGAGGGGGGACGTTATGGGGTAGGGGGTTGGTGGCAACTAAAGGTGGAGGTAGAGTTAGGGTTTTGAAAGAATATTGGTGTAATGCGCAGTTAGAAAATTAGAGCCGAGGATGTGGGTGAAATTATATCAAGTACAAAGAAATAAAATGAAAATTTTGAAATTTGAAGGAGAGTCTAAATAGAAAATGGGTTTAAAAAGTTTTTTTGCGAGGTAAATAGAGGAGCTCCCAAGCCTACCTGAATACCTATGACTAAAGCAAAAGGCGGATCCACCAGAAGTGGCACCCACTGAGCATACACTTCAAAATAAGAAGAGTAATGAGGCGCAATGAGTCTAGTTTAAAACAAAAACAAAAACAAAAAACCCTTGAGCTAGTATAGCTCTGAAACCAAAAGGACAACCACAAAGGAGAGAATCATTACACTAGAGGAGGCGGCTCCCCTTCCTGGAGCCTGAAAAAAGGTCCCTGCATCATATGCTGCAAGTCTCGTATAGCAAAATATGTTTGAATCTAAAATACGAACTTTGATTGTACAACGTTCATACATCAATATGAAAGACACAAGTCCTAAATTTTATTTCAAAAGCTCAAGAGCCTCAGTAGTAGCACAATCTTGACAAACTGTTTAGAAATCATTAAAGTAAAATCCCAAGCAAATATGTACAATAATATATACCACAGCTCCTAGGAATTGCATTGAAAATCATGCAAAGGAAGCTTATCTACATTGTCTTTCATATGCAGAAGACAATACGAAAGAACGCTTCACATGCAACAACACAGTGATCTTCCCAAGCCTCCCACCAGAACCATGTTTAATGCCGCCACCTTCAAGTCAACCCTTATGTACAATTCATCATAACAGCTTATTGCTTTATGATTGTTCTGATATCAACAACAGTCATAGCACAGCCGTCCATTTCAGACTACCGATTTACAGAATATCTTCCTCCAGAAATATACGAACTATTCAGGCCGAAAGCTTACTAGATTTGGCAGGTCAGTTGACTGAAGCTTCTCAATGTCATATGCAGTCACCTTGCAGGAGTCCAAGTTAAGTGATTTCAAATTCTTCAGGGACCTCAGATGCTGCAACCCCGCAGTGGTTATACGGGAGTTTGAAACGTTCAAAGAAACCAATTGTGTCAACCCTGTGTTTACAAAGCCAAAACGCGAGTACATAAATAGGGGGAAATTCTAGAAGACTGTAAGATCAGATTTGAGAGCTCCACCATCTTTACTATCATTAAGTTCTTTATCTATACAAAAAACAAAGGTAGAAAATTGAGCTGAACAAATTTCTAGATTAATACCACAATTTTTTTATTTTATCTTTTGGATAAATTAGACTAATACCACAATTAACAATGCAAAAGGATGCATTCCGGTTTTTTTTTCCCAAGGAATTTAATGTATGTCTCATGGGGAGGAGTGAGATAAGATACCTAGATGAGTTTCCATAAGCAACAAAAAAATGACAGATACATTGGGAATATAAGACAGTCTAAGAAGAATACCAGAAATCAGTTCCAAAGTTTTATCAGTCAAGTTGTTGTTTTGCGAAAGATTTAGCACTGTCAAGGATGAAAGATCTTTGATATTCTTCACACCAGCATCAGTCAATCCTCCACCACATATTTCTAAGGACCTCAGGTTCTTAAAATCTGGATCAATACACAGAACACTGAATTAATCCAACACCCTCAATGATAAGTGAAGTCCAAATTGTATTGCTCACAATATTAACTACATTGAAAGCTTCTTAATCGCATCAACATTATTCTCATGGTTGAAGCTGCCAACCACATACCCATGCTTCCAAAAGCAAGGATGTTTAATCTCCAAAGGGCATAAAAAACTGGTAGTCAGGAATGTGGTCAAGATGGATGTGAATGTCTGAAATAAAAAGCACTAGTAGTTGTCATATGTTAAACCAAACATACTCTTGAGATAGTTCGTTCCAGAATCGGTGATACGTGCTCCAAAAAGATCCAAATGCATCAATCCAGTCAAGCCTGCAATCGGAAAAGCAGAAAATTAATGGGGAGGAAAGAGGAGGGGAGGAGGGGAATAAAAGCATGCAATAATATGCATCTAAAATACTAGAAATAAAATTACTATATAGCATTACAAGTGCAACAATAACAAGGCAAACACACAGGGAGAACAGAGAGAGAGAGAGGTTTTTTCTTGATCTCTAGTGATTGGAAGTCAATGTGCGACTCTTAGAAGATATGAATTTTCTCTTCATGTTTCTTGTTTCGAGGACTCCTTGTCCTCTTTTGTATCTCTTTTTTTTGGGTAAAATTTCATTTTGTTGCTGATCGAGAGAGAGAGAGAGAGAGAGAGAGAGAGAGAGAGAGAGATTTAATTGAGAATACTGTTTGGTTCCTAAGCTTCCAAAAAGAAAAAAATGGTACTAAACTGATGAGTAAGAAAAACATAGACTCAGAGAGCATCACCATGCATGCATGGCCAATTGGAATTAGCCAATGATCTAAAAATAAAATATAATATTAAAATAAAATAAAAACTGGAATTAGCCAGTGAAACCGGCTGAGTGGGCATAGCATCATTTCATGCTAGGAGAGTAGTAAGACGCATTACAAATAAAGCCTCAAGTTCTATTGGTAAAAAGGCATATGGCAAGACACAGAACTTGGCAGTAGTGCAAGGGAAGGACCAGTAGTGCTGCTTCAGCTTCTGGTTGGACAAGAGAAAATAATGCCATGTAATGGCCAAAACTAACCATCATGCGAGTCTAACACCCCATTTGTTTCGGTGGAAAACAATTCTAGAAATTTTTTGCCCATTTTTTGATGTTTGGTACGATGAAAAATGATGTCAATGAAAATGAGTTGAATAGGGTATGAAATGTTTTCCACTTTTTGAAGGTGGAAAACATTTACCGAAAAGGAACGGGTAGCACCCTATTGAAGTTAAGAGAGTACACATTAAGATAGTTTGGTCATGTACAATGAAGATTAATAGATGCAACAGTAAGAAAGAGTGATTTGAGGATGACCAAAGGTGACATGGGATGTGGTAGTGAAAAAAGATATGAAATTTAATTTAACTAAGCATATAACCCTTGATAGAGTATAAGGGCAAAATAGGATTCATGTAGCCGACTCCACTTGATTGGGACACAAGGCTTAGTTTGGTTTGGTATGTCTTGAAATGTAAGACCTCACATAAAGCATATGATGATGGCAATTTAAACCCGGCCCGATGGGGACCCGATCCCTCGACCCCGATTAACACGGGGTTTTCCCGAAAAATACCCCCGACGGGCCGGGGACGGTATTAAAAAAAAAAATCCCCGATCATTTTCGGACCGGGGACGATGATAAGTGGTTCAGCCTCGGCCCGACCCCGTTCCCTGTCCCGTTTCTCCCCGCCTCCCTCTCCCCTCTCTCATTTCAAATCTAATATAATATTATATCTATACTCATCTCCTGTGTTGACTAAAAGGGACAGAAACAATTACTTTCTATACTCAACATAAATAACAATAAACCTAATATAATATAATATTATATCTATACTCATATAATATATACTCATCTCTCTCTCTCTCTTATCTCAGAACTCATCTAACAATCCCAAAGCCAAAACACACCTCCCATCTCTCTCATTTCAGATCTCTCTCTCCCCCATCTCAGATCCTCTCTTCCTCCGCCGCCATGGTCGCACTCCGCCGCTTGCTCTCAAGCTCGTTGCACTAGAGCTTTGACAATGACGACTCAAATCTGTAACTCGTTGCACCAGAGCGTTGCACCAGAGCTCTTAAGCTTGTGTGTGTGTGTGTGAGATGATGATGATTATAATGACGACTCAGATCTCAGATGTGTGTGTCTGTGTGATGAAGACGACTCACTCTGCTCTGTAACTCCGTCACCGTCGAAGATTTTTCATGGTCGGGGAAACCCAATCCCCATTAGGGGACTGGGGTGGGGAGAGTGAGGGGTTCCCCGTCGGGGATCGGGGTCGGGGACGGGGAGTTCCATACTTTCGGGGATCGGGGACGGGGAGGGCAATCCCCGGCCCCGTCCCGCCCCGCCCCGTTGCCATTCCTAGATGCATGTAATCTATCTATAGACTTCCCCCCTCAAAAAGTTTGAGCAGCAGGATCAAAACCAATGACTGCAGAGGCAAATATAGTAGCCAGTCAACATGGAAACATGAAATGCCAGCCACAAAGATGACCAAAATGTGAAAGTAAATCACTAATACAACTCCAATATAAGTGTCACAGATCACATCTAAACAATTGGAAAGCATACACCTGAATGGTAACCTACCAAATTGATCCAAAAATATAAAAAACCTTGACAATTTTACAGAACATGCACCCAAGGGCAACATCAACTCAAACATGCTTACTTGTAAGACTGGCAAGTCCAGCATCTGTAATTTGGCGGGCATCCAAATTTAATGACGTCAGTGATGCCAATCCAGCCAATTTTTTTAAACCGCTGTCCGTCACAACAGTGAATGACAGATTTATACTCACCAGACTAGTCAAACCTGAGAAAGAGACCAGTAGAAGATATGATTACACAAATTAAAACGATATATGATACTTAACAAGAATTATGACAATGAAGAACATGGACACTTAAAACAAAAGCATGGGTGCCTGTAACCAATTGTGTATCCAACTCACATGTCTAACCAAAAGAAATGAAAATAGTCCTCTTCTTAATTGGATTTTACTTTTATCTTTGATTGGGCTCATGGATATATGGAGTTAAGTTAAATTTCAATTCACAAAGCAATATGTTATGTAAACACTTCATTTCATCCCCAAAAATAGGTGAAGAAAATTGAATAACTATGGCAAGTTATTCATGTAGTGTGTCTAGCATGTAAACATGTCAGCACCTGACAAACAAGCCAATGTGAGAAAGTCATTTATGCATGTATACAGATAGGAAGGGACAAGAAGTTGCTACATGCAACCCTAATCATAAAAGACCTAAACAAGATGCCACTCTCTCAAGAGATTTTGGGTCTCCTTGAAAGGAGATCTTCAATCATGAGCTATGACTACTAGTATAGTGTGTCCTAAAACACCACATTTCAAGGAGATCCAAATTCTCTAGAGTTCTGCCGACGCCTAATTAACACCAATTAACCACATTTCAGGATAACTGCCTATTCAAACAGGCGTTGCTTTTCCAACAGATAGCTATAAAGAAATAAATAATTTGCTGCTTATCCTCTCCATATCCCATAGCAAGGCCTGTTTGAATAGGCAGTTATCCTGAGTTCTGCCAAAATGAAAAAATATTTTCTTCAAGTAATCACACAATACTTTTCCCATGATCATTTAAAGGCATTATATGCAATTATTGAACTAACAATTTAGTCCATTCCAACACTCCCACATTCATTATTGCCATGCCTGCCCAGTTCCTCATCTCTACCCAGAACCTTAACAGGCTTAAGGGATCAACATAATACACTCATGCATACATATAATATAATTCGAGTCACAAAACATCATAAGCATGCATATCTAGGAAGAGCAGCAAAAGGTGGCTTATGAAATTTAGAAATAAGAACAAATCTCATGCAAAAGAAGCAAATGATATCATTGTCAAAGTAGATGAATAAAGAGAGATTCAATTTCAAGCCTGTCAAAATATTAATGTATTTAAATTGTTCAACATCCTATAAGTAGAAGGCAAAGTCTAACCAGCAAGATGACGGAGGCCATTGCTTCCAACTTCAGTATCAGACAACTCTAAACATCTCAAACGCTGAAGGCCTGAACTTTGGACACCAAACCATAAGCATGTAAACAATCAGAATCTATTGTTGAATTGGCTCACACACCCAGATCAACAAGGAACTACAATAAAAAAATTTAGGTCCACCATCAGATGTACAAAAGACACAACCTTTTCCTTTTAGGATGTATAGAAAAAGGCAAGGTTGGTTTTGGATTGCTCTGAAAGTTATATACATCTGATAACAGAATTATGAAGCTTTTCATAAATATTGACAATAGTGGCCATTCAACCCTTTCTACTCCTTACAAGACTAATTTAACATTTGACTCCATTGAAATTCTTCACTTTTTTTAATTTTTTTTTAAAATTTTTAAATTTTATTAATTTTGTAGGAGAACCAACAAAATGAGTTGTAATAACCACAATAGATGCATCTATAGAATTAAATTGATCCCATCATATTCATGAGAGGTCTAGCCCAAAAAATCTCACTAGCATCTAAACTGAGCCTATTCTGTGCATTGGCTCTGGATTAAGATTTCATGACATGATAAAAAACAGAAAAAATTATGCACCAGAAGCAACAGAAAATAGAAACGAGAAGTCTCATATACACCAACATATGGCAATGCAGTTTGCCCTAAATATTTTGAAATGTCTTTTCCTTAATATCATGCCCACATAATCTAGAATTCATCATAAAAGGCAAATGAGAATGCTTTACTGGAAGATATTAGAAACCATAACTAAATATGCCGTTGAGAAGTTGAAAATGATTTTTATGATTCACGCATGATGCATCAAAAACATATGCTTCTACTGAACTCTGATTTGAAAATAGAACTGTCACCAAAAAGTGCAGCATAGACAAAGGAAAATAGAATTAAATGAAATAAAATAAACAGAGCTGAATAATGACCTGTCAAGTTAACCAGGCCCTCATCATCAATCCTACAGGAATCAAGATTTAAGGTCTCCAAATTTGTTAAACCTGCTTGAAGCAAGACAAAAAGTATATAAATGACAATCAATTCTCGAAAAGTAATACTTGTATATTCCTTATATGAAGATATTTGCTCAACAATAGCAAAACCCAGATATTTAACAGCATAAAGACTTGTGTAAAATCAATATATAAAAAAAAAAATTACTTTTCATAAAGCACAAGAAAATTCTGCATACTATGCAAGCATTTGATAACATGATTTAATCTAGGAAGCACGGATACAGATACGGCGATACGCCAAAATCTGAAAAATTAGGATACAGGTATGGCTGGGATACGTTCATAAAAAATAAAATAAAAAATTATTTTTTATAATTTTAATAATGTAAAATGCATGAAAATAAAACCCAAAGCATATTAATAAATAAAGAGAGGGATTCCTATTAAACTAAAAGTCTTCAAACATTCATAAGACATCCAAAACAAAAAGCAATAGCAAATGTAAATTAAACATCATCCTTAAATGCCAACACCAAAAAAAGAACGAGAGCAGAGAGAAGAACTGCGAGAGAGCGAGAGAGATAATAAGGGGTCTTTTGGGAAGTGGGTTATAATCCTCTCTCACAAAAAATTGATTATAATCAGCTTTTAACCAAAAAGCTGATTATAACCATTTTTCCAAAATAGCCCTAAGTATACATCAATTTGACAAATTCTATTACTTTAACTCTCACTATATTCCTCTTATTAAAGAACTAAACAAAGTATTAGAAGTAATATGCGACTTCGAGTATCTGATACTTCAAAATTAAATATCTGATACTCTAAAATTAATAAAAAAATTAATTATCGGATATGTATCCGCAAGTATCCAAGGAGTATCGGTATCTAATAAGTATCCGATACGGATACGTCTCCCTTTTTGAAATATCTGTGCTTCATAGGATTTAATGAACTTCCCCAAAAAAACATATCAAGGATGGATATTGACAAACAACAAAATAATAGCACTCTTACAATCTACATGTCACATGTTTGACAGTAGAGAAAGACCTAAAACCACAAGTATTGGTGTGAGTTATTGCGTAAGACCTATGTATTATACCTCTAGGGTATCTCCATAATAAGTAGTAAAATGTATGATTTTTATATAGTTACTGAACTTGTACAAATATGAGAAGGAAAAACCACCTCGCAGGTGTACCAAATAAGCATCTGTGATATCATTGAATCCCAAATTCAATACTTTAAGCTTCCGTAGCCCTACAGAACACATGACACTCAGAAGGTTACTTTGGGCTATAAGAGTGTTACCTTCAGTCTATTACAATGATATCAGGAAGAATAACCGTCTTAGTTTAAAACATGGTCCATTGTTTAAACACCCAATGTCATGCAAAGTAAAGTTCACATGTAACTTACCTGAAATCTTCTCACATCCATCATCAGACAAATTACATCTGCTAAGGTTCAAATATAACAAGGCAGGAAGAGCTGGACAGAACAAGCTAGAGATCAGATCAACACCACACATTTCTACTGATTATAATATCAACAAGAAATACATCATTCATCACCAGCATTTACCACCCCCAGTCAATTTTTAGATCAGAGCACATCATGCATGATTTCACAATCCACTACAATGAATATCAGAAGACAGCTTCAAATAGAAAACATCCAACAAAGAAAGTAATTTCTTTTCATTTTGCCATTAATTCCCTTTATAACACAACCAAATATTTTTATTGACCTTTGCTCCACAAAAGCTTTAAATTTTCAAATGGAAATCCTGGATTTGCAATAAACTCCTAGAAGTCCAACAACATTGAAACTGAGTTACCTTTGCTTTACCTTTGCTAATATTAGATCCCATGTTTACACAATTTATGAGAAGTAGCTAATTCAAGTACAAAGGAAATCCAACAACATCGAATCTGAGTTACCTTTGCTAATATTATTTCCCATGTTTAGACACTTTATGAGAAGTAGCTAATTCAAGTCCAAAGGCAGAACATGCAAAAGCTTGCTTTTTTGGTGCCCAAAACAAAAAAACATCATGACTCAGTCAAAATATAAGCATAGAATATTTTCTGTTTTCTACTCCGTAGCGTTCTTTAAACAATGCAATGGTGAGGACTCAAAAACAGTGAAAGCAAAGGTAAAAAGTTAACCTGCAAGACAATCCAAGCATGCCGCGGTAATAGGGCAACCTTCCATGTTCAATAGGGAAAGCTTGTGCAGACCTACAATGCATACAGATAAGATCCAAACATTTGAGTGGAAAAGTTTTGATCTGATTTGTACTATGAAGAAGAGCATGGCACCAAAACCCTTAATGGCAGAATCCTAGAAATTAATGACTTTACCAGGTACCCATGCGAATGCACGGGTGAAAGAGGCATCTTCACAATAGCATTAAGTGTTAACAATCATACATTTTTTTTTATCAAATTCCTATAGTCTCATTGATATCCACTTTACAATAAAAGACTTTGGTTTTGGCCCTTCATAAACAAGTGATATTCAAGATTTTATGAAATGTAGTTCCACTGCCATAAAATTTACCACCTTCAGGACTAACATTTGACAGTATCATTATTATGTGAAGCCATTCCACTAGGTAACCACTGTCAAAGATTCACATGAAACAAACACCATAGTCTGATCGTAACTTATCTCTTAACACATTAAATACACTTCTGATTAGACACCCAAATTGATGTACACATACTTATGTTCACACACACAAAAAGAACAAGTGATAAATATCTTGCGTGAGAGAGAGAGAGAGAGAGAGAGAAATTTTTCAAGAAAAGAAATTTCAATGGAAGTCTTCAAATTACATTGAAAAAATGAGAAGCATCTATTTCAACATAGAAATTTCAAACCTCCATTCATACACATAAAATGCCTCCCGAAACTGCAACTGTGATGTGTGCATGGTCTGTGGCACAGAGACTGTAACATAATTAAATATTCAAAACAAGATAATAGCTTAAAGGCAAACTAATCACCTTTCAAAAAAGTGACGCCATAATCTGAGACCTTACTGCTGGAAATTTGCAACTCTTTCAAGTTGGTAAGCCCTAAATATGAATAATTTAAAGAACCATAAGACGGAGCTCACTGAACTGGTATTCCAGTTATGAGAACAAAGGTAGACAGGCATGCCAAATGTATAGTACATAATGTAAGTCCAAAACAATGATTTACAGAAACAAACTGCCTTTCAAATAAGTGGGCATGTGTGATTTTCTGTAAAGTAATAAAATGAAAACATTTGAATACTTTGTGAATCTTTTATCTAACAATGCACAAAAATAGTTCTATCATATGCAGGTGAAAATAGATGAGTGTATATAGTGAGGACCATAAAAAACAAAACTAAGAGAGAGACAAAGAGAAGGGGGATCAGGGAAACACACACACACAGAAACAGTTACCTGAGAGAGGCTTCATATCAGCATCTGTTATGCAATTGCAACATTTGATATTAAGAGACTCAAGCTTCGTTAGACCTGCAAAATAAGTGGTACTCAGCCATATAATTGTTTTTATATTTTCAACAACAATCAAAGTCAGCACAACTTGACAGTTCCACATGCATTTTATGTTTGCATAATATATAATATATGGAGGAATGCACAAGTGACTTGAATATATATATGTGTGCGCGCCCATAGTCATGTAGAAGCATGTCACTTTGAAACTCTATTGTTCACATAAGTTGAATCTGTTAAGTAATTTGTGTTTCCAACATAGTTTCAATAAAAGATACTGGGAATTGCCAGGAATTTTCAAATAAGTTTAATACTGTTTCAAATAATGTGACAACAAATAGAGCAGGATGCATATCCAAAAGCATCACAAGTGAAGTTCATAGTGACAGAGAAAAAACCTTTGAGGTGAACTAGTCCACCATGGATTCCTGGACATCTCTCCAGATCCAACTTTAACAAGTTAACTAAGCCAGACAAGACACTCAGTCCTTGAGCAGTAATTTGATTGTTTCTTCTAAAACTCAAAGTTGCCAAGTTTGATAGACCTGAAAAAATTAACCACAATCATCCACATCAACCACAGAAAGAACTTTCTCCATGGAAGTGTATGATGGTTCATACAAGTTCATTTTAAGAGGCAGTGAAAAGAAAAAAAAGAAAAAAGAAAAAGGAAGAACTCAAAAGACGTAACAGTGTTGGAAGTTCTCTAAGCATAGCAAGACTTTGATATGCAGTACGGGGCATTGGGAATACCACTTATGTGCTCTAGACCATGGTCTGAAATCTGGTCACTGTAATTAAAATTCATGGCCTGGAGGTTTGTGCAGTTTTTTAGATGAATCAACCCAGAGTCTGTAACATCAGAACCAGAAAGGTCCACAGAAAGTAAAGACAGCTCTTGAGAAGAGATGACATCCATCCAACTGTCCTCCAATCCTGGGTATTCTCCCAGATCAAGATCCTGCCAAGTAAAAGGTAGATGCACTTGAGTCCATTTGAACCACTAAGTATGAACACAGAGTTTAATAACAACTTCCAATTATTACAGACATTTACCTGGAGAGCACAATCTCGAAAAGCTCCAAGAGAAACCTCAGTTAGACATTGTGAGTAAACCAATTCATTGAAGATCTGCTGACTAATATCCCTTGGCAGCATAGAAAAGGAACTATATTTATCAATATCCTGTTACACAACAAAGAAGAAAAAATCAACCCAGAAATAGAAAAAGGGTAATGGTTACATCCATTATGGCTGTCCCCAATCTCATATTTATGGGGCCCAGATATGTTATCGGTATAGCCATTAGCTGTAAATAAAATTCTTCCTATAAAAATTCACTCTCCTATGTCCTTGCATAAGCAGTATGTACCTCACGTATCTTGTAAATACACAATTCCATTAGAGATGGACATTTTGTTTTTCCCTGTTTATTATCTACAGCAAGCCGAGAAATTGAGTTTCCCAACCACTTAGAACTCCCACTTTTGCAATATCTTCCATAGATTCCTCTATTTCCACTATCTTCATTGACCTGTTGGTCTCGCTTCCTAGAACAAGCTCCTCCCATCATGCAATGTTAAGCAATAATAAGTCAAGAAAAATTGCAGAGAACAGTAATGCAACCCATTGAACCACCAAAAAGTCAGGACACTCTACTTCACTCTGCAAAACCAAATAGAAAGTGAGAGAGGGCATAGCACATTAAAACCAGCAATTGGTTGAGTAATTAAACAATTCAATGCATAAATAGTTTAGAAAACATGTTTGCAAGCACAGAACTGTGAACCCAAGTCCTCATGGGATAAGCAAATATATCAGAGACGTGTACATACCTAAAGAGGAGAGTTAACCCCAGTTTCAAGGTAGCTCCTCTTGCACAATTCACCAACACCCGTAGACACTCACAGTCCATGCACTATTTTTTGGTTTTTCATTTGAATATTATTTTCTAAAGAATTAAACATAAAAGGGACATTTTAGCACAACTCAAATGTCGTGATGTCCAACACCAACGTAATGCATTTTCTATGTAACAAAAACCATGACTAGATGCACTTAGCACACAACTTTTAAAAATACAAAGGGAAAAAAATAAAAATAAAAAAAAGCAAAAAGAATATAGGTCAGCATTGAACAATCACTATAATACACGTAAAATTGCATATCCATAATACTTTTGTGTGCACCTGGGAGTGTAGATTAACAAAAGACACCCTCAACCTAATTAAACTTTGCCATTCATATAAGGCATAGCATTTCACCAGAGTAAATGCATCAACCCCTTCCAACTAATGTTAATTCATAGTTAATTAAAAACAATACTCTTCACTTCAGTATCTAATTTGTGATATGCATGGATAGTTGGATACAATTGGTTGTGGATAGAGATTATAAACATTGGGCATCCAATTTTAGCAAATGCAGTGCCCATAAAAACACTTAAAAATCCTTTCATGACAAATCCATGCCATCAGTTGACAAAAGCATAGACTCCAAAAGATGAAGATTGTCAATAGGCTCTGTCTACAAAATATACCCAATGGAAACATATTGACAAGCACATTTGGTAACTCCTGGCACTAAGTAAGTTACTGTGAGAAACATTAATGCTGTGTTTGATTGTGGAATTTGGAAACTGATTTGGAAAGGAAAATGAAAAAGGCAGGTGAAATGTGAAGAAAATATATCTACATTTCACATAACTTTACACACCTTTTCCCTTTTTTTTTCTAAAGCCCTTCCTAGATCTCTCGACCAAACCAAACACAGCGTAAAGAATTTCTCATCAATAATTAAGCAGCTCAATGCAGGTTTTTTTCTCCTCGAAAATCTATAAATTCCATGCCAAGTACATCACAAATATAACACTATACTCTTTTCATCTAACATCAACCCAAAAAACAATTTATGAATTGGATATAGATAATGACGTAGAGAACCCAATTGCTCACACAAATCGACTAGGCGGACAAGCATATCCAAACACAGTCGCCTTAAAATGTCATAATTACCCAATAAGTAATTAAAAACAAAAACAAAAGAGGAGAAAAACATGAAACACAGTTCATGTATTTTGATAACCCACCGTTTGCGTTTGATTGCTGAGGAAAAAAAAAAAGAATCGGAAAACCAAATATTAAGTCTTTTCTTCACTGTTGCTTTGGTTTCTCCGAAACAATAATAATAATAATAATAATAATAATAATAATAATAATCCCAAAATTCAACTTAAACCAAACAGATTATAACAATCATCGATCAAGAAAACGAAACAGTAAACAACAAAACGGCATAATCAATAATCAATCATCAATTACTAAACACACGAGTGCATTTAGAAACAGATACACATACGAAAACCGAGAATCGAACCTAGAATCACGATCATCTGATCAGTTCTTTGATTTTATTCTCAACCTACAGAGAGAGAGAGAGAGAGAGAGAGAGAAGTGGAGAGACGAAAGTACGAGAAGAAGAAGAAGAAAGAGAGCGTAAAAGTGGGAGCTGGAGCTGATGACGAACCAAGCTCCTAACCAACGGATTATGGACGCCTGGAGTTTGGAGTCAGTGAAGCGAGGTTCGGAGGAGAAATTATGGACAATTTCAAATTGCTTATCATTTTTTAAAAAATACTTTTTAGAAAATTTTATTTTCTTATTTTTATATTTTTTATGTTTTTATTGAGTTTTTTTAATATTTTGAACAAATTTTTTAATTTTTAGACATACCTAACATAAATATACCTAAAAAGTAAAAAAAAATTAAAAAAAACTTTTTAAAAATTCATTAAAAATTATATTATGTCTTTTAAGATTTTTAATTTTATAATAAATATATTTTTTTAGTAATAAATTATAAATTATCAAGTTAATTAATAATTCAGATAATTTTATTATTGTATAGGTAAACAGTTAGAAATTTCATTTTTTTAATTAATTTTTTTAAATAAAAATTTTTGACAGAGAGGTATTTGTAATTTTTCAAATCATAGGGGATAATTCGTATTTTAAACAAATTTCAGAGATGTATTTGTAATTTAACTTTTTTATCTCTAATAAAGTTAACAACATAACAAATAGAAAAATACTTGGTGGCCTGAATATGTGTGGCCTGAATGGCTCGAATATGTCAAAAAGACATTGTCTTACACCCAAAACGACGTTGTTTTGAGATATTCGAGTCTTGAAATTTCGAGCCACCTAACATTATTGTAACAAATATTATGATTTGTATGGTGTGAAGCAATGCTCTTAGACTACTAAATAACTCTCAATTCGAAGGTAGGTGGCGTGGAGAAGGAGAAGTTATTGGTTGGTCTTAGGTATTATAATTGATGGAGGAGATGGGTATATGGTTTTCGAAAAATGCTTGGGATCCTCTTTTTTGGGAGACTTCACAACTCCTTTTAGATCTTAATTATTGATATATGTGTTAGATTCACTCATGTATGTATGGGGCCTACACCGTTAATGGTTGAGATCTAATAAAACTGTGGAGTTGTAAAAAAAAAAAGAGGTCTCAATCATTATTGATTATTTTCTATAAATGATTGAAAATAAGGAAGAATATGATATATTGTAATCAGTGAAGAGCACCGTCGCATGGCACCCCAGAAGCAGCAAATAACTTTTCGTGGAGAAGAGGAGTGGGGCCCAATAAGGGTATACTTTATGCTTGCTTTACTCATCCATTGGGCCGTTGGGCCCATCGTGATTTGATTATTTAAATGATTTTTTTAATCATTTTTTATCATTTAAATGATTTTTTTAATCATTTTTATCGAAATTGGGTGTAATCCACCACTTAATTAACTATCTTGCACTCTTAGCAAATGAGAAGTGTTGTAGTACGTGCGGGTCTAACGATAAAGGTGTGTGCTGCTGGTGATGGACGGCTCTCATTATCGTTTGATATAGATGAGCTTCCATATTTGGCTAGAAACAATTTTTTTTTAAAAAAAATTTAATGTATTTTTTAAAAAAATTATCAATTTTTTTAAAAACTCTTTCTAGATTAGAAGGTCTTAATTATTTTTAAAAAGTTAAACCGAATTTGAAAGGAAAAAACAAAAAGCCAAAAGAGAAAAAAAAATATATCAAAAAAACTTAAGAAATTATGGAATTTTTGGGATCATTGGTGAAAAGTTCACAACTATTACAGACTTGGTGTAGGGACATTCTATAAGTTGTTTATTGACTTATTGGCCTTATTTTATTATATCATTTCTTTATTTTTTTTACACGTTTTTTCGTAATAAATAAAAAAATAAAAAAATAAGTCATACCCAAAACAAAGTCATATGTTATTTGGTTCATGGTTTAAACTTTTTTTTGTGATAAAAACATGTGTTTAATGAAATTGTTTAGTGAAAATGACAAATTATTATTTTGAATGATTTTTTTTTTAATAAATTTTATCCCACTGTCATATCTCTGCTGGCTAGTTACTTGAAAGTTTCCCAACATTGGAAAATTCGTCATCGCTATAAAAGTCGTCAAAAAAGGTTCCATAGGTGGTGGTTGTCGACAACTATGGTAGTGGTGGATTTAGATAGATTGGTAAATTAGGTAGATAGATAAGTGACGCATAGATAAATACGAGATGACACATAGGCAGCTAAGTGGTGGACAAATAAATGACACTTGAACAAATAAGCATCTCCAACGGTAGTAGGCATTTTACCTATCTGAATATTACTATAAAGTATATATTTTATTTTGCCTATCAACTGTTTTATGTTTTTACTCCAACCATGCTCTTTATTTTAGCTATTTATCTAAATATTATTAATTTTATAGAATGCCACGTCAACAACAAAGATGGAGGGAAATGATCCTAATGATTGAATACATTTTGCCTAGCGTTGAAGGCTAGCTACATGTAGCTAGTGAATATGAGTTGAACCAAAATGTCTAATCATATGCCTAGTGCATTGGAATTGAAAAAAAGTGAATCACACTAGGCATTTTAACTAATAAGTATTATATGCCTAGTGCATTGGAGATGCTCTAAGTGAGGTAGGCAAATAAGTGAACAATTAATAGATAGACAAACATGTATAGGTAATATGATTTTTTAAATTATTGGTTTTTTAACCCAAAATAATAGAGTTTGATGTTATTGCCTCTCAAGTTTTGCCCCCCTTTTTTTTTTTTTTGGCTGTGATCTTTATTGGCTGTGATTTTTATTTAAGTTTAGTTTAGTTTTTAATTTTAAGATCTTCTATTCTAGTAAAGATCTAAATAATGATAAAAAAAAATTACTAGAACAAAAATTCAACCAAAAAATGTTTAAAAAAATTATTGAACCCCTTATTTGGGTAATTCGAGAATTATGATTGACCAAAGTAAATATCAATTGTGAATAACCAATTATAGCCTTTTAAACATTGGGAAAGGCCCTCTCAACCCAACTGAGGTGTTGTTGGGTCTCCATGGACACACCATAAAGTACATATCGATAATTCAAACCGTTCAATGTGTATAACTTGTCAAGTTCTTCATTTTTGTAAAAAGTCACGTTGATCATCAAATCATATTTGTGTTAACATTTTATTTTTAAAATCATACTTACTGTTGATACAAATTTGATTGGATTAAGTAGTTATCAATATTCGATCAACGTAATTTGTTAGAGGAATAGAATACCTAACAAACTTTACATATTGAATAGTTCAGATCATTAACGTGAGTTTCATAGTGAACTTATGGAGGCCCAACAATACGTTTGAATTCGATTTCGAACTGGAGATGAAGCTCTGCCTTAAAGGTTTCATATAACTTATACATAAATAGTGCTATTATTTTTGTTGAATCTCAAAAAGTACTAAATATTGTTTTAGAGCGTCACGTTATGGCTTCAATTTTTCACCTTTAGACATTATATATTTTAGTCATTTTATAATTTATATTTGAAGTGAAATTTGAATCAATTGTTTGAATTTTTTACTTTTTCAAAATTCGTGGAAATAATGATAGGACTTGGTTATGGTAGTTTTTACTATTGTGATTTTCTTTCATTCTTAAATAGATTGCGAACTACAAATGCTTTATTAAAATGAAATATAATGAAATGAGCATTCCATTATAATATGTATTCTCATATTATAATAAAATTACCATTTATTATTATAACAAAATCATCATTATGCATAGATTAAAGAATAATCATTTCATTCTATCTTATTTTGTTTTAGTAAACTAAATACAATAAAGAAAATAATGAGTTCACTATATTTTAAAGAATGAAAGTTTTAAAAACCATTACGTTTTTGCGTCAGCCAAATATATATTTTAGGAATTAAAAAAAATGCATAACATCAAGGGGATTTTTTTTAGGGTCCTTGGTATTAAAATTTTATAGCATAAAAAATATCTACTATTTTCATAATGTCTAAGATTCCTTAACATCGATTCAAAGAAAAATCGATCCAGCCCAGTGAAATTCTGGGAATTTCTCATTTCTTTCCAGAGAATTTCTAGAGAAATTCTGGGAAGGCCAGAGAATTTCCCTGGATTCTAGTCTAGAGATGTAATTTCTTTGAATTTTCAAAAAATTTCTCTGGTTTTTGAAAGAATTTCTTTGGGTTCAAACTAGAAAATTTATCTGTCTTCCCAATCACGATGTGCAATACACAAATTAATCACCCAAATAAACAACAACAACAACAACAACCAATATATATATATATATATATATATCTAATAAAGTAGGATAATTTTTGAATTTGTCCTACACATATTTGTCCTATTAAGACAATTAGACAACTCATATCTATTCGAATTATAAAACAATGGCTGAGATATATTTTTCAAAAAATATCCTACTTGTACATTTTCTATTTTCCTGTTTCTCTCTCTTACTTTTTCCCTTTATCATCTATCCTTCCATGATCCCACATTCCTCTCTCTTTTCTTTTTATTTTTTTATTTTCTCTCATTTTTATTTTTCTCTTTATTTGTTTTTTTTTTATTTTCTCTTTTTTGTTTACTTATTTTTATTCATATTATATGAAAAAGCCTGCGATCTTAGAATTAGAAGCCAGATTTTACTGTATGTAGTAGATATTAAATTAATGAATTTTATAGTCCACAAATTAAATGAATTTGAACAATTAATTATTGTTTTTAAATATATTGAATACCTGATAAACTCCATAAATTTAGACCTCATATGAATCTTCAACATCTATATAATAAAACATGATGATTTTTGAAATTGTCCTACACACATTTGTCCTATTAGGACATTTGGACAGCTTATATCTATTCAAATTATAAAACAACGGCTGAGATATATTTTTCAAAAAATATCATACATGTACATTTTCTATTTTCCCACTTCTTTCTCTTACTTTTTCCTTTTCTCACCCATCCTTCCATGATCCCATGATCCCACCTTCCTCTCTTTTTTCTTTTTATTTTCTCCCATTTTTCTTTTTCTCTTTATTTTTTTTTTTTATTTTCTCCTTTTTGTTCACTTATTTTTATTCATATTATATGGAAAAGTTTGCGA